TTTTCTCCCGTTTCACTCAGTTTTCTGGTTTTCTCCTTGATAGCTCTTGTAAAAGTTTTTTTCTTTTGCCGGCGTTTGGAGTTTTATCACCCATTTTCTTGTTCCCCCTTTGAATTATTATGTTTCATTTTTTTTTTTAACCGGTCCTTTTCTGTCTCTCAATTTGTTTCCTTCGTGTTTTTTCTCATGTTTTTTCCTCGGGTTTTATCTCTATTCCTTATTATTTATCATCTTCCTAGTTGGTTTTTCTGTTAATGCTACCACTACTACTTTTCTACCACCGGCTTCCCATCTTCCATTCCTTAGTTTTTGGAAATCTGTCTGTTCTTTCTTCTTTCTGCATGTTCCATGCCCATGTCTTATTCTTACTGGCAGAGCCCCTTACCCAGATGGATGTGTGGATACCTAACTATGTCTTACTGTGGTTGACACCGTTCTACTGTGGATTTCGGTTAAATCACTCTTGAGTAGATAGTTACTGTACATAAACATCTGGTCTGTCTTGGACTTGGTGCTATAACTATAGAGCTCGTTCCTATGGTTAAAGGTGGTACAGAGTTAGTTATTATAGCTTGTCATTATTCAGTTTGCATTTACTGCGATTGTTGCTGGTTTTCCCTAAGCGCGGGTAGCCTGGAGAGAATATTCGGACAGAAAAGCAGGTGTTGCGGCTGCCCAGAACTTGATGCTGCTTCCTTATTTTGCTGCTTTGCTGCCTTCTACCCGCCATGAACTGCTGTGATGCCCCTCTGCCGTGCCACCCTGCCTTGGAGCCAGCCAACTGTAAACTGAAACCTCTACCAACTGTAAACTACAATAAGCCTTTCTTCCTTTAACTTTGTGCGTCACGAATTTTGTCTCAGCAGTGAGAAGTAACCAAGGCACACCAATAAGAAGTGGACTGAGAGAGAAATTAGGGAAATAACACCTTTCACAATAGCATGAAGAAAAGTGAAATACTTAGGAACTAACCTAACCAAGGAAGTGAAAGACCTCTACAATGAGAGCTGTAGTACTCTGAAAAATTAGGTTGAAGAGAATATCAGAAAATGGAAAGGTATCTCCTGTTCCTGAATAGGCAGCACCAAGACAGTGAAAAGAGCCGTACTCCCAAAACAGAGTTAATGCAGTCCTAATGAAAATGCCAGTAGAACTCCTCACAGGCCTAAAAAAATATATATAGGGAATCAGAAGAGACCTACACTAGCAAAAGCAATTCTGGGCAATACAGGGCCAGGGGCATCACAATCCCAGACATCAAGTTATACTACAAAGCCACCATGATTAAAAATAGCATGATACTGGCAAAAAGAAAATAAATACCAAGCAGACCTGGGCATCAGTGAAACAATGAGAAGATGCAGAAACAACTCCAGGCACACTCAGCTACCTCATCTGTGACAGAGGGCCAAGCACCTGCCTTGGAGGAAGTACAGACTCTTCAACAAACGGTGCTGGGAAAGCTCGTGTTCCACATGCCAGAGATTGAACCTAAACCCATACCTCCTTCCATGCACTAAACTGAGATCAAAATTTACTGCAGATCTAAATATCAAACACCTAATCTGCTGGAAGATAGAATGATTAAAATTCTTAAGACATAGTAGGAAAAGACTTGAAGAACAAAATCCTGGAAGCACAAGAAATATCAGAGAAAGAATCAACAAATGGGATCACATCAAATTAAAATGCCGCACAGCAAAGGAAACCACAGAGTAAAGAGACACCCTACAGAATGGGAAAAAAAATTGTGAGCTGCTCCTGAGACAGAGGACTAATATCTAGAATATATGAACAACCCCCCCAAAAATAGATCCCCTTAAATTTAAACATCCAAGAATGGGCATCTGAAATGAATAGACATTTCTCAGATGAAGATACAATGGCTATAAATACATAAAAAATGCTTAATGGAAGTTGAAACAACACTGAGATTGCTTCGCATGCCAGAAAGAACAGTGTCATCAAGATAAGCGATAACAAGTGCTGGCGAGGATGTCAGGCAAAAGGAATGCTTCTCCATTATTGGTGGGAATGTAAATTGGTACAACCACTATGGAAAGCACTGTGGAGCATCCTCAAAATAAACTAGAGGTTCCATTTGACCCAGCTATTCTCCTTCTAGATATCTTCCCAAAAAAGTTAAAGTCATCATACCACAGTGATGCATGCACACCCATGTTCATAGCGGCACAATTTATAATAGCTACATCTTGGAAACAGCCGTATGCCCATCAACCAATGAATGGATAAAGTCATTGTGGTATGTATATACAATGAAGTACTACTCTGCCATAAAGAATGATAAACGTGAGACATTCTTTGGTATTGAGTGCACCTTGAGACCATAACTTGAAGTGACATAAGTCAGACACACATGTTTAGATGTCATAGTGTTTCTCTTGTGTGAGAGGCCCAAAGTAAGACGCAGAAGGAAGGACAGCTGTTAGGAAGCGGAAGAGCTTTCTGAAATGGGGAGGGGAACGAGAGATGGGAGGGGAGGGAGGGAAAAGGGATTTAAAGGAAAAATGAGTTGGAG